GACAAATTAAAAAATAGTACGATGAGCCCATTTTATTTTTTATTTAAATTTTTTTATGTTTAGAAACTAAATTGAAAGAAACTATAAATTGCCATTTTTTTGTTTTCGCTTTTCAAAGAAAAAAAAAGGGGAAAAAACAGAGGCTGAATTTTTCTTTTTTCAATTTAAACAAACATTTTTAAAAATAAATATAAAAAAATGCCCCTTTCTGTTTGATCTGTTAAAAAAAAAAAATAACAGAAAATTAAATCAAATGCAAAACAAACAAACAAAAAAAACAAGACCAGCATTTTTTTTGTTTTCAGTTTCAAATCAACAAAAACAAAACAAACAAAAAAATTTACCATTTTATTTCCAGTTTAAACCAAAAACAGAAGCTGGGTTCATTTTTTTGTTTTTCTGTTTTAAACCAACAACAACAACAAAAATAATAAATAAACATGTAAAAATAGGCCAATTTTTCATTTTGGTTGTTTTAAACCAAAAACAACAGATATAAAAAAAAATTAATATTTAAACTTTCAAATTGCTCAAATTTAAAAAAAAAAGAAAAGCAAAACCAGAAGTTTCTATTTAGCACCAGTGTGATGCTTTCGTGGTGCGTTCACGTCCTCGTCTGGTCGCGGTTCTGACGTCCACAGACTCACTTAAACCCGTTTTCTGTGTCTACGTGGGTTTTCTACGGACATCGTTTCCGTCACTGAGCGGACTGAGGTTCTGAGGTTCTGAGGTTCTGGTTCTCACCGTGTTGTAGTACATTCCCGAGCAGACTTCGGTGCTGGTGGCGTTGCAGCGGCACGATGGGGGAACGCTGGTTTGCCAGTCGGCCGGTCCGTTGACGAGGCCGCAGCACTTCAGCTGGAAGGAGAACCGACCGGACCAGAAGTCAGAACCAGAAAACAACAACCAACAACAAGAACCTAAAAACGTGGGACGATATTTTTTAATGTTTCCAGTTTAAACTAAAAACAAAAGAAAAACAAACCAAAACGGGCCGTTTTGTTTTCTTGTTTACAAATAAATAAAAAATAAACAAACAAAGGGCCCATTTTCTAGATTTTTCATTTTTGCTGCTGGACAGTAGAACCTCTTCAGAACCCGCCCGCTCTGACCTCTCTCTGCAGCTGCTCCAGGTCGTCCTTCACTTGCTGGTCTTGACTCGACAGCGGCGTGAACTTCTCCAGACGTTCCTTCACCCAGTCCTTCACCTGCAAACACAGAAAACCAGGACGACGTCACTTCCTGTCACTTCCTGTCACTTCTGGTCACTTCCTGTCACTTCCTGCCACTTCCTGTCACTTCCTGCCACTTCCTGTCACTTCTGGTCACTTCCTGTCACTTCCTGCCACTTCCTGTCACTTCTGGTCACTTCCTGCCACTTCCTGTCACTTCCTGTCTCACCTTCGACTCGCCCACGGCCGCCGCGATGCCCGCCGCCAGCAGGAGGATGAAGATGAGGAGGAGGAAGATGAAGAACTGAAGGAACAAAGAAGGAGATGAAGGATTAGCGGATCTTTTACTGGAACGTTCTTTCACTTTAAATGACTGTTTTCTGGAATATTCCACGGTTCCTCTGTGGTTCCTTCATGCAACTCAAAGGAACCAAATTTCCGGAGAAACACGACGACGGACTGACCTCCAAGACGAAGGTTCTTTTATTGACGAGCGTTTTCCACAAGTTTGGTCTGAACATCAGGTGAGTTTTAATCAGCCGGTTGTTTTTGAGGACGTTCCAGCTGCAGGCCAGAAGGCGCTAACTGGAACCAAAGTGGTTCTTTAAGGTGATACCATCAAAGAACCATTTTTAGTTCCACATAGAACCTCTCAGCAAGAGCATCCTCAAAGAAACGCTTCAGAAAATGGTTCCTTCAGGCATCGTGTATGAAGCTCCAAAGACGGAACCATTTTCCAGACAAATTTCAGATTATTGTGAACAAATTCCAGCAGATTTGTGGACTCGCCTGGTTCTACTGAGACACCAGGAACGTTAGCAGAAGGACGTTCTTTAAGGAACCCTTTTCCAGATGGTTCTTTCTATAAGTCTCAATTTTTTTTTGTTACATTTTTGCCATTTAGGACAAATTTTAGATCCAGATGTTGGCTTGTGATTTGGAAAACTTTAAGGGATGTTTTCTGATTTACAGGACAAACTCAATTCACCGATAATGAAAATAACAGTCGCAGCTCAGATTAATAAGTCGGCCATAAGGAACCATCCCCGATATAAAAAGGTTCCTTAGTTGGTGGAGAATCATCTGAGAACCATTTGAGAACCGTTGTTTTTCTACAGTAGGAAGGTCGTCGTACACTCTGATGACTGAAAAACACAAAGTAAATCCAAAAACGTTGCCTCCCTCTTGTGGTCGTACGAAGAAGTGCACGTAGAGTCGTCACCACAGGGTGTATGTGAACCAAACCAGGTAGTTTTGGTGCCTAAATTTAACCAAACACAAACTGAAAAGCAGTGAGAGGACATGAAACTAAAAAATAAACCTAAAAAGTGGTTCCAAATGGGACTTAAACTCAAAACTAATGGATGAACTTTGCAAAATTTCAGCTCCACCAACATTTACTCGGCTGATAAGAGTCTGTTAACTTTTTTAACCTTTTGCACTCATGCAGCCTCGTAGCATGATGCTGCCACTGCCGTGCTTCACTGTGCATTGGTGCAAAGTGAAGGAAGCATCTACTGGCCGTTACGTTTTAGAGTAAAGTGCACTTATGATATTACTTTAGATAAAAATAGAATAAATTTGGTTAAAATTTTCTTCAGCTTCCCTTCGATGGACGTCACATACAGCTGCCGGTATTAAAGTTTCAGTCACAGAGTCGTACTTTTATACAACTACTGACTGAAGCGATCCACTCAGGAAACACAAATGCAGAAAGAACCAGGAGAAGCTCACCAGCAGCAGCATGCAGCGGTTCTCCCTGATGGCGCCGCAGCAGCCCAGGAAGCCCAGAACCATGATGATGACTCCGATGGCGATCATCAGGTCGACGGCGGGGAGAGTGTCCTCTGTGATCTGAAGAAGGACGGAGGAGAGAAGTCAGCGGATGTCAAGAGATTTGGAAGGTTTAAGGGAGAGAAACTGGACCTAAACATGTCCGATGTGGAAGACGAGTGTCTGGAAAAATCTGGAAAAAGTTCCCATCGGACCTCCTCAGAACATCTGGTTCTGTATCTGCAGCACCTTTATCTACTGACCAGAGTTCTACCAGAGGTCCAGGTCCTTGAAATCCACAGAGGAGGGTCCAGATTGATCACTTTAATGGACTTTTTCCGTCATTTCTGAGCCTCAGAACTTCATCAGTCCAGCAGATAGACACATGACATTTAGGAGGAACAACACATCTGGGTTCTGCTAGAACCTGACACCAGATCAGTTCTACATCCATCCAGGTGTCTCAGTCTGAACACTGGATCTGGGTTTGAGTTGTTTTTACCACAAAAACAGGCAAAATCACCCCAAAGACTCAAAACTGGCACCAAAAGGTCAAAAATTACCACAAAAAACATAAAATCACCAAAAAAGAGGTGAAATCTCCAGAAAATGATCAAAATTACTCTAAAAATGGAGACAAAAAGTGTTCATGGTTCATCACAGTCTGAACACTGGAGCTGGGTTTTCTCAAAAACAGCAACGAAAAGTTTTCCAAAACTCCTCAAAACTTTTTTTAAATGACTTGAAACTTTTCCAAATTTAAAAAAAACAACAACTTCAAACTTCAAAAATCATCTAAAAATTACTTAATTTGTCCAAAAATGACTCAAAACTCGACTCAAACAACAAAAAAGTCTCTTAAATAAGTTTAAAGAGTCGTCAAAATGGCCAAAAAAATCATCCAAAATCCCCAAAATAACTCATAAGTTCTGTGTATTTTTCTCTGTAACCAGCTGGTAGCATCAGTATTATGGGATGCATCACAGTGTGAACAGTTGTCATAGAAACAGGTACCGTGGATGTGTTTCTGGTTCTGAGGCCCAGATGCAACATGAAACTCTTTAATTCCACTAAACGAGGTGAAGCTTTGTTTATCTCATAACAAAGAGCCTGAGACTGACCTTGTTGTCATGCTTGCTGACTTTCAGGTAGATGGACACGCCCAGGATGATGCAACCGCTGATCTGCAGAGAGAAGAGATGAAACATGACGTTAAACAACGAGGAGTCTACTGGTGGACATCTGGCGACATCTGGTGGACAAAACGGAAACATTCAGGCACAAAACATCTCACGAGACGTTTCCTGTTGAACCTACGGACGAAAAATACCACAAAGATGTTTTTGTTGGATTCAAGTCAGACGACATGAAGGTTCAGGTTTTCTCTTTGTGCTTCAGATGGTTCTCCTGCTGCAATATTCTTCTTCTTCAAGCTTCTTGTCAGGTTTATCCTCAGACATCCATCTATGAACGTCATCAACACCTTCTGCCCTCATGCAGCCCCACATCATGATGCTGCCACCTCCATGCTTCACTGTGGTGGTCCTGGTCAGGTTCACACCAAACATCTGGACTCCATCTGAGCCCAACACATTGATCTTCATCTGACCAGAGAACGTTCTCCGACATTAGTGAAGCTTCTTCTCATGTTCTTGGGCAAATCGTTTTCTTGTCCTTCGTCCACAGAGGATGAACCGTCCTTTAAACTGGATCTCTGGGGTCACTTTGTGTCTCTTTGTGGTTGTTGTTTTCCTTTTTGTGGTTGTTTGGATCTTCAGTGGTCATTTACGTCTTTATTTTAGTAATTTTGTGTCTCTTTCTGTGGGATTTATTCATTTTTTGTGGGGTTTTGTGTCTCTTTGTAGTGTTGTGTTGTGGTTTATCCTCAGACATTCATGGAGCATCTATAGATGTCATCAACACCTTCCACCCTCATGCAGCCCCATATCATGATGCTGCCACCTCCATGCTTCACTGTGGTGGTCCTGGTCAGGTCCGCACCAAACATCTGGACACTTGGGACGCCTCCTAAAATCTTCTACAGAGGTGCAGTCGAGGGTGTGCTCACCAGTGCCACCACTGTGTTGGACGGGAACTGCCCCCTGCAGGACAGGAAGTGCCTCCACGGTGTCATAAAAACTTCAGAGAACATCTCTGGAGGGACCTTCCCATCACTGCAGGACATCTACACCAACAGGTCACCAGGAGAACCAGAACATCATCAAAGACCACCCACGCTGTTCAGCCTGCTGCCCTCAGGGGGCGCTACAGGAGGGTGAAACCAAGGACCACAAGACAGTCAAACAGTTTCTGTCCTCAGGCCACGAGAGTCCTGAACAACCTCAAACACTGACTCACACTGTTGACTGTACACAACATGACACCAGGTAGCACGTAAACAGACAACATTCCCCTCAGGTACTGTTTTTATTCATATCTATTGTTATTATTGTTGTTTTGTCCTTTTTATATTTACATTCTTTATTCATACAGTCGTCCTCACATTTATTTATAACCTCCCGTTAAAGACGGAAAACAACAGCTGCCACTGAAATAAGCTGAAACTGACAAAAGTAATAATAATTAAAAATTAGTAAAAATCATGGCATTGATTTTGGATTGTGGTTCAACAGACATAATAAAATAAAAAAAAAAAAAAAAAAACAACACTTCTGCACCTGTTGACAGGTGTTCTGGTCCACCGCTCATCAGCAAAGGGCTCTCATTGGTCCAGGACAGTTTTGTTTTTTTTTTTTTTTTGTTTTGTTTTTTTTTTTTTGCCACAATTCAAAATTAATGTCATATTTCACTAAATTATAATTTAGCAAATTTTTATTTATTATTACTTTTTTCAGTTTCTCGTTATTTGAGCGACTGTTGTGAGTTTTGCCTTTTCTTTAATGGAAGCGAATGAATACATTTATACATATGGCAGTGTGCAAACTAGACAATTCCATTGCACAGTGTTAAATTGCCATAGGTCTGAAACTGAGAAAGTTCTGGTGCTCGCAGCTCATTTTAGAACCATGTTCATGCCGTTCGACTGATTGAAAATCACAGCTGGACTCATTGATTCACTTTATGTTGCTTTGAGTAGCTACTTTGGGACCTAAATGTTCAACATGGTCATTCTAAAGTTTTAGTTTTTGGCGGTTCCTGTGAGCAAACACTTGTTGGTTCAGTTTAGAAGTAATGACTTTGACTGAAAGCTGATCCCATCTGTTGTGAACTGTTTCTGTCCAAACAACAAACGGCCGTAAACCTCCTGACCGGAGCGATCCGCTGATCCTGGTTCAGGACGGATGGACGTCATGTATTATTCACCACTCGCACAATCATCCGCCACGAACACGGCGATGATCCGCCATTAATATTTCATCCTCGGCCGGAAAGCAGAGACCAGTCGGCACCAGCGTCTCCACGGAGACCAACACAGCTGCTGATTACAGGCCAGCGGTGACAACGGCGAAGACGAACCAGGAGGCTCGCCTCAGACGCCTCACGGCCAGCAGCCAACAAGATTTATGTCCATCAGATGGATGTTTAATGAACTTTAATGTCTTTGAACTGATCAGATTTATCCAAAGTGACCCAAAATTTGTCCTAAATGTCATAAATTTGTCCAAAATTACTAAAAAATATCTCCAAAACTATTAAACTTTTGTCCCTAAACAACAAAATTGGTCCAAAATGACCCAAAATGACTAATTACTACTGTCCCTAAAAAAACAAATTTGTCCATAAGGGATAAAAAATTTGTCAAAAATTACTATTTTATCCAAAATGACTCAAACTATCTCCAAAATTATTAAACTTTTGTCCCTAAATAACAAAATTGATCCAAAATGATCCAAAATTTGTCCAAAATTAC